GAGAGAGAGAGAGAGAGAGAGAGAGAGAGAGAGAGAGAGAGAGAGAGAGAGTGTCGCAGCCTCAAAACTTCATACATTTCTGTGTTCGTTCTCATTTGTGATGGAAAACTCATTTCTTCAGTCACGTACGTTCCCCCTGCCGCGGCGTAGCCGTGGCGCGTTGACTTGTTCTTTTTTAATAAGTTGGAGCCGTAAATCAGGATGGTTGGAAGAATACATTTTGGACCCTTTCTCGATTTATGCATGTCGTGTGCGGGGGCCATGCTATGTTTCTCTGTATTGTTCCAATTTTAATGGATGATCCGTGGGACTTCTTTTTTTTTTGGTTTGTGTTCTGTTCATGTATGGGGGGCAAGCTGTATTTACTATTTCTCCTCTCAATCTCGTATCTACCTCACACTAGCTACCTACCTACCCTTATCTAGCATGGAGATTTCCCTTTTATCTTCTCCAGTAGTCCGATGGGAAGCAAGCTATCGTATGCTCCAAATTATAATAGAAAAAACTCCCCCAAGCCCGTGGGACATTTTTCCATAGCTACGATCCGGACCACCGGACAGGGATCCGGACCGTCCGTGGTCCGTGGTCCGGGGTCCGGGTCGGATCTTGGTCCGGATGTGAGGGTCCCAGCCCAATGGCCAAAAAATTTTTGGGTGGTCCAGGGTGTTTGTTCACGCCCTGGGCCACCCCAAAAAAATAGTGCCTTATTTTTTACCACCCTCACCGACGATCCAGACGGCCCGGAAAGTCTACGAGGGGATTTGTACATCTGAGTATTAATGTCCTCATTGTGTCCAGCCTCTTTTCCGAAGGATCCCTCCAGCGTATTAGCTGGGACCCTACGTCATGCAGAGGTGCAACTCAAACGTGTACTTTGTGAGTGTGGGCAGAGAATATATAGTCTACATTCAAATTCAGGTCTGTGCATCTCGGTTATGGGTCACTATTTCTGTGTTTTCTCGTTTTTCTTTCCTTTTCTCGTTTTTCTTTTCTTCTCTCGTTTTTCTTTTCTTCTCTCGTTTTTCTTTTCTTTTCTCGTTTTTCTTTTCTTTTCTCGTTTTTCTTTTCTTAGGAATACTTGCAGTGGCCCTAAGGGCCTCTACTCACCAAATGCACAAAAGACAAAACATATGGTGGCGTATTATTCCACGTTCTGCAGAAGATTCATTCAAATTTTGCACATTTCGTGAGTAGTGCAGCCAAGCCCTAAGACTCACGTGCAGAGACCAGGAGGTCCTAGCTACGCGAGCAACCCATAACTGCTGAAACACAGACCTGAACTCGAATCTTGAGTATATATTCGGGCAGCTCATGCTCTACTTCATATTGCTGCCTGCCTCGATTTTTGGGGGGGTCTGCGCTACATGGGGGCGAGGACCCTTTAGATAGCCTGCATGGGCCATCTGAGCGGTGTTAAGGGGATCCGTTGCTCTCTCTCTCTCTCTCTCTC